AAGACCACATGCCAGGCACCTCATCAGATCAAAATTTCATAAAAATTTGTTGGTTTTGCTGAAAATTAGGCTCGTCGAAGCGTAGCGCTGTTCCAGCCTCGAGGAGCTCACGACGCATGTCAAGTCAGTCTGGATTAACTTTAAGCCTGCTATGCAGCCAAACATGCCGGTTGGCATGCCGCAGCATGTGTTCATGTGTTTGCCTATTAAATGGGGAGCACATTGAGGGGTCACAAATATATCAAGACGCAATGTACTCTGTTTCACATGCAAATATAATGTGAGAACGAACTTATGAGACACCCTGTATATGTCGGTGTGTGTTGGTCTGTATAAATGCACAGATAACTCATAGAAAGTTTGATCATCTGTTTAGCATGCTATTTCGAAAAAGAGGACATACATTGGCATATGTAGAGCTGTAACAGATCACACCCAGACGGTATTTACATAATGCTAACAGTCTTGCCGCCGACATCAAAATAGATTATCTCTCAGTATTACTTCGTCATAAAGGGATTAAAACCATCTTACGGCTACAGCCTGATCAGTTGTGAAAGTACATAAATCTATTCTAATTGTGATCGACAACTGACGTGTGCCATACCTACTTAATTTTGGGTTAGTTCAGCATTTTAATAATTATCCTGCATTTTAGCAGCTCCCTTCACCCTTGAAAATCCAGAAATCTAGCGAGAGCGAATTAATGTGTCCCACATGACAATGCCAGAGTGGAGCGCCCAATTTGGAGACGTTATCTGACATTTGACGTGACAGTTGTCGCCGATAACGCTACTGCAACGCCACCAAATGTCAGGAGCCAAGGAGCTCCGCAGTACTGGGTGGATCAAAGCAGCCCGCACTCCACCTCTCGTGTCCCATATACGACACCGACAACAGACCCGCCTTCTTCATTTTCTCCCAGTCCTCTGCGGGCTCACCCTTCCTCGCTGGGAGTCGCTCCATCATCCGGTGCATATCCAATGGGCTGTCCAGCGCTCCGGGCCGCTGACATGACCCCGTTACCGCCGGCCCGTGCGGCTGACGGGCCGCGTCCCGACCCTGATGTATGGCGCCGCCCATAACTCGGCCACCGGTGTCCGTCCCCCGGATCACTAAATGGTCCCTGCGCATAATGTGACCGGGTGTAATCGAGCGCGACAGCTCGATCGCAGCCGGACGTCCGCCGCGGAGAACCGCTCCCTTATCGGTCCGAGCTCTGCTGTCGAGCTCGACATCGCGGCGGCGACTCGGTCAGTGTTGGAGCACTCATAGCTAGTCAGGTTAAACTTTCATACAAATGCTTTGTAAATCAAATGAGGGTATAAAGTGACAATTGACCACAGGTGGACCACGACCGTAAAGGCATATTATCAATGAACACTGAAATATCACAGCATGGGCCGATGAGCTGAATGAGCAGCAGGCCTGAATGAGCTACTTACACGCGCAGCATATCTCTGAGCACGTGAATTTTAGCACTGATAGATGGATAATCCAGCCATTCAGCGGGTAACGCCATGAATTAATAAAAAAAACTTTCTGTGTGCCGTTCAAAGCTCTCCTCTGCTTCTATTGCTGAATGCATCATCTAACTGTTCTAGACATTGACATTGTCAATGGTAATGCACAGACAATCGGAACGGTTTACAGAACCAATCAGTTTACTTTGCCATCGTTTCTGTTGTCCGGATATTAAAATGGGAACATTAATAACCTAACTAGACCCGGAGGCATTACCATTCTTCCTGAATATTATATGCAAATCGGAGGACGTGGCGGAAGTTATCAGCTACTGGCAGCCAACACACTACTTTACCATGCCTGTCGCCGAGCAACAGCAACGAGGAAAATAGTTAAATTGGATGCTGCAACAATGTGTTATCGATCGATGATATGCTAGAACGCCTGCTAACTCAGTCAATGCTGTAAAAGATGGGTCCTCCCTTTCTTGACTTACATTATATTCGGCCGCACCTCCTATCAACCAGTAAATGATACGATGAAGAGGTGCTAGACAGAAAACGTTTTTATATGACATACCTATATGTAAGGGTACAACAATATATTGTACTGCTTACATAGTATAAAGATCTAATTCCGATAAGCAGTCAATCAGCCTATGCGAATGAACTGCTGTCACAAACAGTTAACAATAACTAAGGTTCATACGCAGGTTATACCTGCCTATTTCAGCTATTCCGTTCTTGTAACAAATGTATCTTTTCCACCCAACAGACATCTTGGTGGCCCATACAGTGACCCATAATGCTGCCAACCACACTTAAGCGCATAACCAAGCCATGCAAATGAACAGCCGTCCAATTTCACTTCACTTTCACGTCACTTTGTCTGACACTGTCTGGTGTGGATCCAGCGGGGCTGGGCGGCGGCGGCCGCGATCTAGTGGTCCCGGGGGGCGGCCGGCGGCAGCGCGGCCAACTTGGTGCCGGGTCCCGAGCTCCGAGCGGCGGCAGAGGCGGAGCCGGCTCCGGCTGGGGTGCAGGGGGATGGGATGGGATCGGACGGGGAGGGGATTGTTGTCAGGGCGGGTCATGGGATGTGGACTGTCGGCGGCCCTGGATGATGGTGATGGGTGCAGGCGGTATAGCTGGGAGTGGATGGGAGGGGCGGTAAATGGGGGAGGCTGGCGGGTGAACGGTGACGGCTGGCGGGGGACAGGGGTAGTCTGTGAAGTAACGGCTGGCGTGGGACAGGGGTAGGCTGCGAAGTGGCGGCTCTAGGAAGGGCTACAGGAGGCGATGTGTGGCGGGGCCATCAGAGCTCTCCGGCACTGGAGGGCTCGGCGATATCCTAAATCCGCCGCCGACCGGCACCGGCTGCGGCCCCCAGCGTTGCCCTATTGGCTACATACATCACAGGCGCCAGGACGGCGCGGAACGGCCGGCAGAGGACACGGCCGGTGAACGAGAGCCGGATGGAAAGCGATAGATGTCACAGACATTGGTGGCCATCAGCCACTTTTTCCCCGCCACGCTTGGCTTTTTTTACCTAAAAGAAACTAATAAATTTTACGAGAGCATTGCACGAAAGAAAAAGTTTTATTCGTTCTCGAGAATGAAAATGTTATTTTTGATTTCTTTATTTATTTTATTTATTTATTTGTTGCACATCCTTCCATGCAGGCATAGTTATTTCAGGATGGCACATGATCAGGGAACCACTATGCACAATGCACATGCACTTTCCTCGAGCCGCGTTCGAGTTCACTAAGGAGGAGAAAAAGAAAAACAGGACCAAGGCAACACCTTAGACCACTTCAGCATCAAACTATACATTTCGTGGTGGCCTGATCGCCCGCTTAAAAGCAAATATGCTGGACGTGCCTTGGATCTCTCGGGGCAGCCGGTTCCATGCCGAGCCAGCCCTGTACATGAAGTGTTTTTGAGTGGCAATAAGCCGCACTTTCGGTAGGTGCACCTGCTCTGTATCTGTCAGGCGCGTGTCACGAGTCGCCACATCACATCGACGTTTGAACATATCTTGTACCACGATTGGTGCATGGGGATCGCAGATTGCGCGGTGCACCTTCAGTCGATCACGCTCCTCCACCAGCTCGCCAATCCGTGACCAGTGGAGCGACTTAAGAACTGGTGTGATGTGATCACGGCGCTTCGAACCGGTCACCAAACGAGCCGCAAAGTTAAAGGGACCCTCCCACCTTCAAAAAAGTTAATGAATTGGCACGAAAGTGATGTCGCTCGGTTCAGAAAGAGCGAAAACGAATATCTACCAAATTTCATCGAAAAATATTCACCGGTTTTTAAGATATTAGACTTTTACTTTTGTTTACTTTTTGGGATCTCCGCTGTTCCTAGCGACTTTATTTGAAAGTGCGGCATTTGTTGCGCGCAAAGCAGCATATACCACCGCGTGCTACCAAACGTTTTAGTAAAAGATTTAAAAATCGTTAGATCTCCGCTGACGTCACAAATTCTAAGGGGGCATACCAATGCACTAGCCCCTTAGAATCCGAAAACTGCAAGTTTGAAATTCCATATCTCCGAATTAAAGCATTTGTCGATGTTGTGAGTGCCCAAACCGGTATTTGCAGGCCATGGCCACCAATTTGGCTATCTCAACTCAAAACTAATGTTAAGGTGGGAGTGTCCCTTTAATCATTTTTTGCAGTCGCTTAAGTTCTTTGTCGGCAGCTCCGCCCCAAACTGGTAAGCAGTAGATAATTTGATGGAAGATATGAGCTTTGATAATAGTAAGCAGGGCCTCGGTAGTGAAGTTACGCCTGAATCTGTAAAGCGAAATCAATATGCTGTAGCAACGGCGCACAACTGATGAGATGTGTTGATTCCATGTTAACGTCTGGTCAACAGTTACACCAAGAAGTTTACACCAAGAAGTGATGTAAATGTTATTTATATTTACGATTAAAACCTCATTAAAAAGCAGCTACACATGTTAGTCAGTTTTAGTGACGTGTCGAACGCCCGGAATATTTAGGAGGGGTCTATTTCGGGTTATCGAGCGACGATGAAGTTCATGTCTTGACGTCTCATAAAGATGGTGACATTTGGCGTCGGGGTTCTGGTGGGGTACGAGCCACAGCCCCGCGGCGACTGGCCGCCCAACTTGACGATATTGGCTTCACGCCGGTCAAGGTCGTGACCCCAGGCCGCTATTTTATTGCGTTACATCTATATAGGAGGCTTGTTGATGCAGTGTTTATTGGCGTTCCCGCTGTTTTATTTTGTTTAGCATGTTACAAAGACGAACAAACATGAAAATAAGCTTTGTTTTCTAAATCTCTGCGCTTCAAATGTACACAAATACGGTGAAGTGAAATATTTGTGCTAGTGTCAAACATTTTGAAACACCGATAAACAAATTTACCTCAATCAGGCTAGTATGGTTTCTCAGCAACCTAAAGGGATGTGTTGCATGCGCGCAGCCGCAGGCTACATTAGCGGTCTAAATACCGTTACATTCCCAGCCCGCGCGCTGCTCTCTCGGCGTGTACTCACTGTTTATTGCCCACAGCTCCTCCAGACACCTGGCGCGGAAGTCGTCGATCTCGCGGCGCTTGTCGCGGGGCAGCGTCGGCCGCTCGGTCGGCTCCGCAGGCTGGCCTTCCAGCGACTCGAACAGGAACGCGCCGACCACCGAATAGCCCACCACCAGGCCGCACAGACCCACGTGCGAGAACAGGTGCGTGAAGAACACCTTGATGTAGTAGCGCAGCCGGTAGCACTTCTTGTTCCGCTTTACCATGGCGACGCGGCTGGTGGGAAACGGCACTGGAGACACTGCCGAAGACACTGCAGTGGTATCGGGAATCGGGAGTATGCAGTTCGTGGTCGGTGGTCTGCCACTGGCAATTGACTACACACCAGTCCAAAAACTCAGACACGGGTCAACTTCGAACGTCCCTAGCCAGTTCAAATTCACTCATCACGATCGTAGCACGCATTCCCAACGATGCTTCACGACTTTCCGGTTTGCTGCATAGTTTACCGGTTCGCCTTTCGTGTCAGTCACTGCAAAGGCGATTTCCAAACGCACTCCTCCTTAGCCAACAGGGATGGCTGATCTTCCACCATAGAGGTCCTCAGCTGGCCTCTTGCGGTGCTTCAGGAGACTACCCAGTGACCACGCGTCGGGGTCAGCGGTGAAACTATTTTGGACCGCGGATTACCGAGCTGAGATTGCCGCTCGCTCTGTGGGCAGTCCTCGGCGCCGTAGTCGGCTTAAGTTGACACCCTGACACTCTCGGAATCATCCGCCGAGTCCGACACTCGACAGTCTGAGTGGCACTCGGCGTCCGACACTCAGCCCGTGCCGTCCAGTGGGAGGGTGCCGCGGCGCTGCTTACCGGGGAGAGCCGTCCGGGTGATCCACTCGTCGACAGCCTGAGAACCAACGGGAGAGACAGCTAATGAAACCGGTCGGAGCCACGAGAGCCGAGCCGCTGATAAGCACTCGGAGAGAGTTGGAAAAGTATCTAGCTAAGGACGAGCTACTGTCAAAACCTCGATGTTAGTGGAAAATGAAACGGTAATGGAATGGGGCCTGCCTAACAAGAGAGCTGCAGCTTACTAAAAAAAAACTAAAGCTAGCATTTTTTTGGGGGGGGAGGGGCAAATGGACAGTGGAGAGATCATAAATGTTTACCTAATATGATCGTTATCAAGTCCTATATATTGCCTGAGGACCTGTTGATTTCCTTTTATTTTCAAGAAAGGAACGGAGACATCCAGTATCTATGTTTAATCTGGGTGAAAAGTCTTAGTAAACAGTATAAATAAGTTTGCATCAATGCATCTATACCTTAACCCGCGACCTGGTGGGGGGGGGGCTATTTTTTGCCCCCCCCCCCTCCAGACTTTTCGATATATCTCCAGAACCGCTGCGCTGATCGTCACCAAACTTTCAGTACCCTCCCGGACATCAATTTTACACATTGTGACCAAAAATTTTTCCAAAGGCTATGATAGGTTGGCCGGAAATGACGTCAGAGTGACGTCATGTTCTGCCGTTTTCGACCCAAAAAAGGGTTTTGCGGGAAGAGCTGTCAGGCCTATAGCTTTGCAAATACAGAAAAATGATAAAGACATAAAAGCTGTAGAATTGACAGGGCTACAAAACTGTCATCTCGGATTTTTGAAATTTTTGGATTTTGACCCCAAAAAATCAAAAAATAGATTTTTTGGATATAATAGTCGGAAAATCCAAAAAGTTTTTTGATTTTCGCAAAAACCGGAATATATGTGATAGTCCTTACCGCTTTCCATCTACATACCAAATTTGAGATTGATACCTCTTTTTTTGGCGAAGTTATAGCGAAAAAACTGTTCAAAATTGATGACGTCAAATTTTCAAACTCAATTTTTAGCAATTATAGACCCCGTAGCGCAAAACAAAGACCACCATTAGACTCCCCGTGACGAGCTGCATCGAATCAATACCCATTTTATGCAAAACTATCAACTTTAAAATTTGACCTTTTTTGGCCTGACCTTGACCTGACCTTGACCTGACCTTCACCAGAAAGTGACCTAAGCCGTACCTGATAGTCTTATAACCAACACCATTGAGTTGGAAATGAAAAATTGGCCATAAAACATGCATCACACAACATTAGTAAAGTTGGGTTCATGTGACCTGACCTGTGACCCTTGGTGACCTGACCTGTGACCTGACCTGGTATTGTCAGTGACCTCTAATAGCAACATATCTACTAGGCAACTGACGCCCTATCGCTGATTCTCGACAAAATGCGTTTTCCTCGGTGTTATAGCGCATTCCCTAGAAGACCCGTGAACGGTGAAACATTTCATCTTTGACCTGACCTGTGACGTCATCGGTGACCCCGAGGTCAATGAAATTTGGTTTCCGTCGACAAATTTGACAGGCCTTTCGAACGCCGTTTAAATTTTGCGGATCCGTCCAGTAGTTTTGGAGATACGAGGGGGGGCAAAAAATAGCCCCCCCCCCCCCACCAGGTCGCGTTATAAACAGACCCCACCAGGGCGCGGGTTAACTAGCCTCAAATGTAAGGTCAGAGTCGGGCTAAATCAAGCTCTAAGGATGTTAATTTATTCGATATTCATTGTGTAGCATGCCTATCTGTATATTTTAAAATCAGCTCTATTTATAACTTATTCCGTGTCATAACTGTCGAATGTCGTATACCGAAAATGTCGAAAATATCCAGAGAATAAAAGGAGCATTATGACTTCCGTTCATTGAAAGCCATCACATACGATCCCCATTTCCTTTTGAGATCATAAACACATCACTGTAAATGTTTATGTCAAAGTAGGTGCTTTGGCCATGTGCGATAAGCTTTTAAGGGAAATTTTAGAACGGATGATATTGATAAACATAACTTCAACAGGTCAAGTGCGCCCAAATATTACGCTCGTCAACAACAGCCTAGCGACATTTGGCACCGAAGCCGCGATAAAGTCTAAAAATTTCTGAAAGTAAACGCCCGCATGATCCGGGAGCCTCCAAACAGAGCGTCACTCGAATGTGCGGCTGACATCAACAATGGGAGGAGGCCGGGCGGAGCCGAAATAGGCGACCTGACGCGACCGCCGACCACCCAGAGCACGGCGCCTGGGTCAGCGCGACGGGCCCGCCCGCCCGGGTCAGAGTGGTGATTTTGTTTGTCATTTAGTTCCCTGGTGCTTTTTCGATATTCGTGATGTGGATGCTACAACCAGTTGCTAGTTATCTCGAACAAAGTATTATTTAATACAAAAGAAATGACAAAAAAGATGAATTATGTCTTCATGATAACAATAAAAACTCATGCAGGCCTAGTCTGGCTCGCAAGCTTGCAAGGACCCTGGCAGCGACTCTGGTCCAGCCTTTTTGACGGGATGACACCGACCGTCCTTGGTTTGAAATTGTGTAAGCCGCAGTTCTAATCCCTGTAAATGAGCCCAATTTCTATAACTTATAAGCGACAGCAAGACTCTATAGCGACAGTCATTCTCCATTTTCTCTTATCCGTTGAGATATTGGACGCTAAATCATAGCGACGTTCTTTCGAAGCCTGTTACGATCTCACCACGCTAAACAAATGCGTCACGTCCCTCCCTAGCCCGCCGGTCGGGCACGCATTGTGGCCATTTGCAAACGGCGCACGGCGCGCCGCTCCGGGCGTGTTGTATTTCCCGCTGAGCGTTCTCAGAAGACTGTGGTCGCCGGTCGGACCTCGGCTCGACGCCCGGTCGTACGGAGGCAGGCGGCACCCATGGCGCAGAGACGAAGCCAATCTGGGTGATGACCGCTGGGGATCAGAGAGCGGCGGCTGATGACGCACGGTGGATCAGTTGGAGTCCGCTGGTAGCGCACAGTGGAGCTCAGGAGAACCGGCGGAAAATAGAGGAAAGTCGGGTGCAAGAAACCGGAAAATGAACTCTTGGCACAATCATCAACAATAAATGTGATGATGCGTGTCAACGGCAAAACTAGAAATAACAATAATTTACCGCATTGTGTGAATTTTGCAGGGACTTTTGTAAACCTTTGGCCCTCGGAGCCCTAAATATTTCAACAAAAGCCTGTTTTTGTAGCTGTTTTTCACCCAAACCCTCTCCTGTGACACTCCAGCCAGTGGGCGTCGACCCCACGCAGCCATAAACAAGCAGCTGTCGCCTTTTTCATCGGCCGGCCTACCGCGCCCCGCCGCCTCCCGCTCTGTCGCTGCCGACGACTCGGCGTCCCGCGGCTGTCGAACGCGACGACCCCCGATTTCGGAAGTTGTGAGTCGGACGGTGACAGTGGCCAAAGTTGGACCGCAGTCCCGCGGAAGTTCCCACTGGCGGTCGTCGGCCGAGGTCGTTCTGGCACGAACCTTTCGTCAATCCGACTACTCCCGTCGTCCCGCCGGAAGCGACGCGAAATAACGCCGACAGGGTGGCCCGAGGCGGGATTAGAAACGTATTTATCTTTATGAATTAATGACTCCGACTCAAATGCGGCTGCGCCTCCCCGAGGCAGCTTCCATAGCGTGGCGCCCTGCGAATCGATTCTCCGCATGTGCAGGATCCCCGCGGGGACAGCGTAGTGGTTTCGCAGCCCAACGACCCTACTACCACACACAATGGCACCATCTCAGTCGAGCGCGCCGCTCGAGCTGACGCTGAAATATAGCTCTGATATGGCCATCCAAGATTCTTCCGGCATTCTCCACAGCGCAGTCATTTGGTGGAAATGAGAGCGGCGGGTGTTGAGCATCTGTTGACGCCGTTTTGAGTGGAGCTGCCGACCGTTGAGTGCGCGCGCTAGATCAGCGAGCACCGCCCACCCCGGTCCGTCGTCACACAATCAAATGACACGTTGATGACGTCACTGCTACGTAAGATGGTGACGTCACCAGCTGCTGGACGTCGTAGCTGTTGTAAGCCGTGTCTGATTTATGATCTCAGCCTTATTAAAGCACAAGGGTCACATTGAATGACGAGACGGAGACTGACTTCTGATTTATCAAAGTCGGTGATTGTTTTTATGACCAATAAAATATGGAGGCTCGTTTTGAAAAGTTTTCTTTTCTGAGCAGCTTCAAACAAATCCCCTAGAAAATCGTATCTTTCGATGTTGCTAAGCATAAATGGACACAATGATCATTGCCACCTGACATCATTTATTGCTCAGCACCTTTTCTTTGGTGCAAGTCCTCCAGAAAATAGTCATTTGTTTGCTTGGTATAAGAGATGAATCGGATACCATAAAGTGGGGCTATTTGAGACAGTAAGGTAGTGGTTTAGTAAAATCACTGTAAAATGAAAAACGTTTGATATTTCCTATCAATTTTTGCTAAGGGTGATGTGGAATTTAACGATGAATAACATGGATAAGGGGTTTTCAAAATTTTGAAAGGTTTTGAAAGAAATTTGGCATGAAACGAGAAATACAGAAAAATACAATTTAAGTTATATGAAAAGTACCCCTACCTGCAGCTTAACATGGTTGGAGGTTTAAAAACGTTGCAACCGAATCTATCGTAACTATAGTTTTACTTATGGGCTAAGCACATTTTTCATGAAAACATTTCATATTGTTAACGGCAGTGTTCGCCATGGGCCGGGCCAGCCCAATGGGCCATGGGCTGGGCTGGGCTACGGGCTGGGCTGGGCCCTCATATATGAAGGATCGATGGGCTGTGGATGGGCTGGGCCAAAAACTTGAACTGTTAAGTGGAGTCAGTGGTTCGCAACTGAGACAAAAACTATAGATAGCTTATTACTGTGCAAGACCCAAAAACGAGAAAATAAAGTACACATGAAATGTACATTGTGCATGCTGCTCGCAAAAGATTGTTTCTTTGCTACCTTTGGATACCTATGTGATGTCAGTAATTTTAATCCACTCATTTTTGACGGGCTGGGCCGGGCTGGGCTTTGACATGAATGGGCTCGGGCTGGGCCGGGCTGTGAACCCATGGGCCTGGGCTGGGCTGGACTGGGATTTTGCGGCCCGTGGCGAACACTGGTTAACGGTAGTGACGATTGTGTAAACCAATGTCTCAGAATCCCGATAACACCCACCTCGTCAAACCTCAACGTATGCCAAATACAGCTAATGATTGTGATGCCAAGGCCCTTAAAACAGGTGATGATGTATCCGAAAAGACTTACCGCCATCTGCCTAAAGTGTATCAAACGTTCGACCTAAGAAACACTGCTGAATCGGCCATGGGTTCATGGGACTTTTAGCAGCAAGCAATATTTACACATTGTAGCCTAATATTACCATCCAGTTTGTGACGATATTAGTTACCTTTGTGAATAGGTGCATCAAATGTATTTTATCAGTCACTGACGTGGTTGGTAATCCATCCATGTCTACTCTGGTTGACCGGAAGGCACCACTGAAGGTTATTATCATGTATACGTACTGCTAGGTGAGCCTTCAGTATATGTGTTACAGACCATATGAAAACCCAGTCCGTTTGCAAACGGCCGGCAAAGCCGGCCGTTTGCAAACCTCCTGAAATATCAGTACCACAGTATACCACAAATGAAATATACCACAGTTTTACATGAGGCTGAGAGCTGTATGCACTCGTCCAGCTTTTACCCTCTCACTGACTTACTGCGTGACCTTGCCACCAGCCTCCGCCGCCCACTCCGCCGGCTCCGTCGATTCCGTCGCCGTCGCCGGCACGGCCGACACTGGATCGTCGCCGTCGACGCCACGGCCGACACTGGACCGTCGCCGTCGACGGGACGGCGTGGTGAGCTGCGCGGCGCCGCCTCCCGCCAGTTTATCTTACGGAAAACTTGTCGGCTCGGCTGCCGACGTCTGGGACAGCTCGCACAGCGGCAAACGAGTCCGGACGGCCGGGGGCGGGAGGGCGGGGGGGGGGGGGGGCAACTGAGGGTGGCTCAGTGACATGGGCCATGACCACCTCGTTGCTTTCAGTGGAATGAGATTGAGTGGCAAGCAATAAGGGGCATCAGGTAGCAAGTAGTGTGATGCATTACCATGATACATGCTACCTTCTTGTGCTCTACCTGAAATAGTTGGCTGCTCATAAATTGATGGTTCTTTCTCATGAAAATTAAATGAAAATTAAATGAAAAATCTGACTCATCGTATAATAGCCACATGTACGCAGGGGAGAGTGGGGTAAGACGAGCACCTTAACATTGGAGCCATTTTTTCGGCCGGTTAGAAACATCATAGAAACAGGAAAGTGAGTGAAAACCTTTTTTTAGACATTTTACTTCCATTTGCCAGAAGATGAGACTTAGACCTGATTCAACAAATAAACTGCTGCTTTAAAAAAAAAACTTGCAAAAACCCGTCTTACCCCACCCCATGGGGTAAGACGGTCACATTGGTAGGGCAAGACGGCCAGCTTCTTTTACCGACCAGCACAGCTCGCAACAAATGCCCGAGATAAGCCGCATTGATACAGTCGCTCGTTGGTCTCAAATGCTTCGGAAAAGGCAGTATACGAGATTCGTGCAGAAGGCGTGTGCTCGTATATCCCGCGCCCTGGGGGGCTATTTTTTGCCCACCCCCCTCCAGACTTTTCAATATATTTCCAGAACCGCTGCGCCGATCGTCACCAAACTTTCAGTACCCTCCCGGGCATCAATTTGACACATTGTGACAAAAAAATCCAAAGGCTATGATAGGTTAGCCGCAAATGACGTCAGAGTAACGTCATGTTCTGCCATTTTCGACCCAAAAAAAGGCTTCGCGGGAAGAGCTGTCAGGCCTATAGCGTTGAAGATGCAGAAAAATGTTTAAGACATAAAAGGTGTAGAATTACCAGGGCTACAAAATAATTGTCTCAAAATTTTGGTTGTTTTTAATTTTAACCCCCCAAAATCATTTTTTTAAATATAATTACCAAAAAATCCAACAAGCTTTTTGATTTTCGGAAAAACGGAATATATGTGCTAGCCCTTACCGACTTCTATTCACATACCAAATTTTAGATTGATATCTCTCTTTTTAGCCAAGTTATAGCGAAAAAACTGTTCAAAATTAATGACGTCAAATTTTCAAACTTAATTTTTAGCAATTCTAAACCACGTAGCGCAAGACAAAGACCACCATTGGACTTGCCGTGACAAGCTGCATCGAATCATTACCCGTTTTATGCAAAAATATCAACTTTGAAGTTTGACCTTTCTTTGACCTGACATTGACCTGACCTCCACCAGGAAGTGACCTAAACCGTTCCTGATAGTCTTTTAATCAACACCATTGAGTTTGAAATGAAAAATTGGCCATAAAACATGCATCACACAGCCCTAGTAAAATTGGGTTCATGTGCTGACCCTTGGTGACCTGACCTGTGACCTGACCTGGTGTTATCAGTGACCTCTAATAGGAACATATGCACTAGACAACTGACGCCCTACCGCTGATTTTCGATAAAATGCGTTTTATTCGATGTTATAGGCTATAGCGCATTCCCTAGAAGACCCGTGACCGGCAAAACATTTTATCTTTGACCTGTCCTGTGACGTCATCGGTGATCCCAAGGTCAATGAAATTGGATTTTCCTCGAAAAATTTGACTGGGCTTTCGAACGCCGTTTAAATTTTGTGGATCCGTGTGGTAGTTTCGGAGATACGAGGGGGCAAAAAATAGCCCCCTCCCCCACCAGGTCGCGTTATAAACAGACCCCACCAGGGCGCGGGATATAGGCCCTAGTTCAGAAGCTTTGTAGAGCCGTTTTTCACATTCATTATTCGAGAATAAACTGTGCCGAAGGAATATTGCTAACATGTCTGTGAGTATCGAAATCGAACATATTCTTAACAGAAATGCTTCTTTTTTCCTACAGCAACAAACATATTTTCATCATTACAGACCCATTGGATCCATAGTTGCCCGTCTTACCACAAACTCAATGCCAGAAGTTCAGCACGATTTTCTCTGTGGACAATTTGATGCAGACAAAGCAAATCCGTGGTAAATGAACACTGGTGGCATATGAGTGTACCACAAGTGATTGCGTGTTTTTAACTCTACAGTGCTGCACACAAAAGCTTGCACAATACATTATGGACGTTTTCAATGAAATGAGTGTTTTTAAAGAAATCAAAATAAAAGATTATTGACTGAACACAAATTCACAAGACTTCAATGGTGGTGTGTAGTAGGAAAGGCAATTCTGGTCCTAATTTTTCTCGCTCGTAGCGCTATTGGTTTGGTCTGCAGAAGGGGTGCCCGTCTTACCTACCCTGACCGTCTTACCCCACTTTCCCCTATACACATGTAATTATATCCACAGATAACAGTAGTACTACTGTAGTACTACTGTTATCTGTGCTATATCCATTGGAAGCCTCCCATGATACTAGGTTAATCTGCTTCTTTTTTAACATTGAGTTAAATCTTTAACTGCTTCGATCGGAAGACAGTAATCCATTCGTAAAGCCTTAAAATTCAGGCCTAAGACCAGCAGAAGCGTTATCCTTGTGAAAATTTTTACCGGTAGTGGTTTTATGTTCATACTCTACGGTGAGGCATATTTGTAAACTTGTTTAGGTACGATTAGGTATATGTGCGTTTTGTTTTTGGCATAAGCTGTCTGGCAACTGTTTGAGGACAATAATGATACCTAAGGGGTAAATCAACAACTGAATAACGTTTGAGATGAATGATTTCCTGCCGGAAAGTCATCCTGCCTTTTAGCAGTCGACGCATCTCCGGCAGCGCACTGTCACAGTCGAGCTAATGTGTGTAGTGTAGGTGCTTCTTACCTGAAAGAAGTCGCTTGATGGTCTGCTAAATGACAAAAGTAGAGCACAGCCATCTTGATAAAGGCTGATCTAGTCAGCTATTCGTTCTTTCCGATAGCTCATATGCTCATAAAATATTGGTCAGGCTAATGTTTTCAGCTAATCATACATGTGTGCTGCCGGCATAAATTCATGCCTGCGACACACGAAGCACTTCGCAGTAAACTATAACGGGACGTGTCATTTCATTATATGGCCGCAAAGGCGTGCTTCGCGGGTGCACTTGACAAACGACCTGCAGTTTCGGTTAATATATTTGTGACACTCATGCCACCCATTATAGACATACTTAATCAGCTAAGAGCGTTGTGAGAAGCGAAAAATGTACACAACGCGACCATCTCCCTAAGAGCTTTTAGTACCGTTCTGGAGCCGCACACTGCCAAATAATTAACTTGGTTACGAGAGGATTAATAGAAAAGAAAAGCACATAAAGGCGTTAAAAGACATAAAAATGTAGAAACTTGTTAAATAGCGGAGCAGAAGTCCGGATCAATGTACAATCTATCAGACATGTGTTTGGATCCGGAAAAATGGATCTGAGATCCGATCCCATGGATCCCGATCCGAGATCCATTCAGATCATAGATCCAACCCCTCCATTTTGTCGAGAGATCTACTGGGATCATAGATCTGACCCTTCAATTTTGTCGCTAGATCCACTCGGATCATAGATCTGGCTCCCCAATTTTGTCGTGAGATCCATTGGGATCATAGCTCATAGGCGCTCAAAATGTTAACAACTTTCTTTCATAAGAAGTTATGAATACCAAAGTATGGTTAGAAACAAACAATTTCATGCAAAGGCCATATTAGTAAAGGCCAGGCATCGGTAAAATCCTTTTTGAAAGGATTGCATTCCCAATCCACATTCCTAGTGCCGAAGTGGATTGCATTCCTACCCGCAATCCCCTTTTTTCACTTGGATTGTGATCAAATCCGCAATCCTTTTTTGCAATCCTGTTGTATTATTATGTGCACTAGTGGATCTGGGGGAGGGAGGGGGGCATAGGGCCGTGCCTCCATCCCCAAATCACCCATTTCTAGTACCTAGTCTTGCGAGTAATTCCTATCTAAGGCACAGGTATTTTATGAGAAATATTTTTTGCCTCAAACACCCCCACATTTAAACCTCTACCCAACCAGTGTTTTATATTTTTAAAACTCGCCCTCAAATACGTAATTTTGCCCTGCCTATGTAGTTCATCAGCGTATATTATTTTGAGCGTTTAAATTAAAAGCGTTTAAATTATTTCAAGTTTCGATGTAAAGCCCTTGATAGCAAAGTACATTAAGCCGATGAAGCCGATCTCATAATTTTCAATCGCAACAAACCATTTCAAAGCACTAATCAAATACAATCCGGATTGGATTGCAAAAATTGGAAGTATGATGCAATCCAATCCGCAATCAAATCCTGTTTTTTGGAATGGATTTCAAATCCAGGTGCAATCCACCAAAAAGGAATGCAATCAGGATTTTGCAATCCTGCAATCACAATCCTACCGATGCCTGGTAAAGGCATCCAGTTACATTATACAGAATACAAAATAAAGGAGGCTCATGACGGTCACAACTTGAGAGAATTGAGTGACATGAAGATTGTTCACATACCAACAGAAAAGTTTGCATTAACAATTAACATAGAGGTAAGTCAAAGTAATGACTAATGAACAATACATTACTAGGTAGTAGGTACCTAGGTACCACATCACAATTCATGTTAGAATCTACATAATGATAAGACAATGTAGCACGCTACATCTTGACCATCTAACGTAGTATCATTTCGGCACGGTCGGCCCGGTGACGCGCAGCTGAGCAGAGCGCTGCCGCACGCTTCCCTCCCTTGTCATTATTCCCTTCCTCCTCCCACCCGTCCCCAGGTCCACCCTCCCCAATCATTTCTCACTGTCCGCACAGAATGGGCCGCCAT